TGCTGGAGTCTCTGCTACATCTTTCTTCTCGGTATCGTAGACAACATTATACTTTTCAGGTCTATCCAACACATTCAACCCTTGGGGCTTTGTACGCCGGAAAGTTGGCGGTGGTTCATTCTCCTGGTCACGGACCGATGGCAAAGCCGGTATTGAAGGAACCTTGAATACAGGTTGTTCCTTCGCAATCGATGATTTGGAAGACATTTCTGATGAAGCAGGTGTAGACTTTGAGCCATATGATTTTGGCGAGGACGACCTCGAAAACGGCCCTTCAACCTCAGCAGGGCGAAGAGGGTACTCTCGTCGATTGGATTCACGCATAAGAGGCGGGCTTGGGTCGGCCCATGACACCTTGGGGGATGAGGGTTTTGCTGGGTTGTGAGGTCGGTAGTCGGCATTCTCCTCCTCTCCTTCGACATCCTCCCGGACGCCGTCAGCCGAGAGATATTGGTGGTTTTCCTCGTTGCTTTCTTCGCTCTGACGACGTAGCACACCCCTCCGGGCAGGGCCGTTCAAGAAAGTGCCGGCAAGTCGACCAACCCGCTTGACACGCAGTGAGCTATGCGGAGCGATTTCTTCACCGCCGCGGCCTCGTAATGCGGAAGAAAGGCCATATCGCAACGCTGGATCATCATCATATTGCGATTTCCGATCACTATCCGAGCGCTCTGCACTACCATACTCGTCACCCGAATTGCGTTCCGACGAGCGCTTTCCTGAAGGTGAGACAGAGGCAGGGGATCGTGTATTGCTGCGTGAAGCATTGATACGAACACTGCGCTGGCGTGGGGCGGGAGTAATAAAATCATTGGGGCGGCTATGGTGCTCTTGTTCAGCGCTCTGGCTATTTGATAGTGGGGAGCTTTCGCGTGAGAATCGAGAGGCGGAAGAGATAGCGCCTACACGAACAACTCTTGGAGCCGGGCTACCATTAGATGAGTCGTGCGGGGACGAATTCCGGGGTGAGCGGCTTTGCTGTCTTGATGTTTCAATTCGAGGTTCGTGCGAGATGTGTGCCTTTTGCAAATGAGGCGAAGAACCTAGTCCATCCCCATGCAGCAATGCCTTTACAGAAGCGCTAAATTTAGGTTCCGGGACCTCTTCGTCGGAGCTGTCCCCAGAGTAGTGTTTGGGCATAGTTTGTGTTGATGGAGATACCCGTCTGGAACCCGAGCGTGAAACCGCGGATCGGGACATCGGCCGGGGTGGCTGTCGGTACAGTTCGTTGTATGCTGGGAGAGAATTCGGGGACGCCATGGCGATAATACCTACATTGAAGTCGTGGATCAATGTGGCCCCTCCAAAGTTGTCGATTGTTTTGTTGACCCTGGAGAAAGCCCAGTCTCGAGGTTTCGTCGCGGGCGCGCTATATAGTCACGTGTATGTTGTTGCTATGGCGACGTCTACACCATAACATACCAGAGAACACTTGAAAGACTGGATTCTGCGCTTAGCTTGAGTGGAAAAGATTGCATAAAAAGGGGGCCGCAGCTTTAAGCTAATAATCTCCCAGTTTCTCCTAGCAAGAGTATCCCAGTACATTAAGTAAATCGCAAGACCGCAATCGATCCCTTAATACCCGATTTAGGATCGGCCGGATAACCTCCACTTACTAGTTAGTTAGTATTCCTCTTAACTATAAACTACAACATTGTACTAGTCTAAATTATACTCCTCAATCAGGGGATTTTATCGGTTTGATCAAGAGTCAAGTGATATATATAAGGCATCGTCAATATCAATGGCCACCACTGCCTTCCAATATTCGGTATGATTGATATATTCATAGGAAAACCCGAAGCTGAAACGAAACCCGATAACTCAGAACGTAGTCAACATCAACAAGACTTAGATCATCTGGCCTCTATAGATACTAGGCTATCAGAGTAGCCCTGGAAGAATATCGTACAAGAAGTATAGCTTTGAGGTGTTTTACCACTATGAATCAATCTAGTCACTTTAAAAGGAATGCGGAATTGTTATATATTTTAGATTACATAGCTTTCGTAATGCAGCAGGAATATATGAAATTAATTTTATCACTTTATGGCTATCTATAGAAGTGCTAAAGAACGATGAGACTTACGTATATGGTAGTCGGGCACAGACATATATTCTTCAAGAGGGGGAAGTAAAAAACCACCCTGGAATATCACTTTATTTTTGTTTATTTAATAGGATATAAGAATAAGAAAGGGGAAAAAAGATCATATACAAGGATAAAACCCACAGATATCTAGATCTGTCTAGCTAGTATGGTAGTATGGATGGATGGAGGTTGTCGAACTGGATATTGGTGACTTGACCGCCTTAGAAATCGGGCGAACATTCTAGCTACGGCAGCCTAGAGCGACCACACGCGCAATGAGAACACCGCGGACATCTATCTCGCGTTTGCTCGTTATGGACTTTCCTTCCTTCATCTCAGACTCTAGCAAAAATGGCGTCCAGCGTGGATGCGAAGCTAATTAGGCGGACCAAGTTCCCCCCTGAGTTCAATAAGAAGGTGGATATGACCAAGGTCAATATCGAGGTTATGAAGAAGTAAGTGGCTTTCCCCGGCGTTTTTCGGATCCCCGGTTTACTGACATTGCTTTTTTCCCCACCTACGTAGATGGATCGCAAGCCAAATCTCTAAAATATTGGGAAACGAGGATGACGTTGTTATCGAGCTCTGTTTCGCACATCTGGAGGGACCACGTTATGTATGTTGGGCTGTCGGATATCTATTGTCTCGACCCTAGTTTGCTGACACCTGTTTCTGGTTCTAGCCCGATATCAAATCTCTCCAGATCCAACTTACCGGATTCCTCGACAAAGATACTCCCAAGTTCTGCCAAGAGCTATGGTCGCTGTGTCTGAGCGGTCAGGCCAATCCACAGGGCGTTCCGAAGGAGCTCCTGGAGGCTAAGAAGCTTGAGCTCATACAAGAGAAGGTGATTGTAAGCGTGCCCTCGACCTTGGATATTTTCTAACCATACTACAATATAGCTGGAAGCCGAGAAAGCTAGTGAAGCACTTCGACGCCAAAGGGAACAAGGCCAAAACCGCGAACGAGAGCTGGACGATGTGAGACGCCGCGAGCGAACAGACCGTGGGTCAGACCGCGGACGTGGAGGAAGAGGTGGTGATCGCGGTGATCGCGGTGGCCGTGGAGGTCGAGGACGAGACTTAAACAACAGACGATACTCGCCTCCCAGAGACCAAGACCGTACCCGAGACCGATTCCGTGAGCCTCTTCCGCGACGTGACTTTGACTCCTACGTGCCGCCTGGTAATCGTCGTGGCCGCCGACCATCTAAGTCTCCACATGGCACTCGTTCTCCATCTCGATCCCCAAAGCCATCATCACCATCTCGTCGAAACCGCGATGAGACACGCCACGGACGACGCGAACGCCGCCGTCGTTCCCCAAGCAACTCAGTATCTCCCGAGCGACGCAACCGCGGAGGAGCGAGAAGACGCAGCAGTCCGGATTACGGTGACCGTGTTAAAGCAAGACCCATTTCCCGCAGCCGTTCCCCGCGCTCACGTTCCCCCAGAGGAGACCGCCGCCGAAGCTCCGTCTCTCGTAGCCGCAGTGTATCATCCCCGCCCCGCAGCACCCGGCGCCAGACAGACTCTGCCAAGCCCGTATCTCCCTCGAGATCCCGTCGCTCATCTGGACGCTATGCCCGCCGCAATTCTGGTCGCTTGAGTCGCAGTCGCAGCCGCAGTCGCAGTCGCAGCCTTGACCGTACTGGTACACGTGATCGTGGTGAGAACCGTCGACGCCGCAGCCCCAGCGGTGGTCGGAGCCGTAGCCGCAGCCCCAAGAAGGACACCGACGGCAAGCGGCGCCGCTCTTTGGAAAGATACAAACCTGATGAGAAACGACGCAAGATGGCTGATGAGAACGATGATTCCACCCGACCCCCTTTGAAAGCTGATGACCCGTCTAAGGCTGATGACACCAAAGCTGATGACATTAAAGCTGATGACAGTGAGACAAAAGTTGCCGAGCAGGTTGGTTATTGAGAATAGAGATTCCTGGCTCGACCTCCACCTTGTATCCTTTACCGCCCATATTCAATTCCTACTTAATGTTCGTCTAAAATTTCACATGTCATGTTGTTTCTGAAGTTGCTATCTTGAACCGGATACTAACAAACTCGCAACACTTAGACCAAGAAACCACTTTCTGCTTGGTTAAATTCAACTGAGTTTCGTGAGAAATTACTCCGCGAGAGATGTATTGCTCTGCGTCGCCGGTCTAGCGAGCAGCCGAGCAGTGCTTCACAGCCAAAGCAGGACTAAACGAGAGCAGCAAGAACCAGTGGAACGGATTAACACTGGCCATTTGTGACTTGAACTTTGAGATTTACCTCAACGAAATGTGTGCATTTTAGCGCTGTACATGTACTTTGTAACAATTCCAATTATTATTATTATTATTTTTTAAATCAGATAGGTTTACGTGCTCTGTTGTATATGCTGTAAGCCCTGGAGGAAAAGATGATGCTATCCTTACATACTATGTAGTCGAGAAAAACACATCACTAACACAATAACACAAAGGAATGTACTCCATTAAAGGGAAAGATATATATACACACAAGTCATCAATAGACAAGGGATCTCCAGCATGCCGATATCCAAAACCATACATAAACACACCAGAACATGAGATATGCGATACACATGATGAACAGGATATTTCAATCTCCACACAAGCAGATTAGAATTAGAATTATATATCTACAGAGACACCAGAGGCTCAGAGACGGCAGATCAACAAGAGGTGTGCATGGGAAAGGGGTATCTGAAGCATGGGGGCGCAGCGACATTGACACACACCGCACGAGTATCGAAAATCATCTTGTCGTGGATAGGGCTCAAAAAGCAAAAAAATAAAATAAAATAACAATTGGCGAAGGAAATTCTATCACAGACCATCATCTAAGGCCTTGGCCTCGGAATATGTCCACGGACAGTGTCTGCTAGTATAGTGTCTGCTTTTACTCGCAGCCGCAGACGGTGGCGGTCACAGTCTCAGTGACGGTGACAACCTCGCTACCACCGGAGGGCACGCTGGGGGCGCTGGTAGGAGCAGGGCCGGAGGGAGCAGGGCCACCGGGGATGACAGTCGAGGTGACGATGGCGGAGGTCTCGGTGTCGCAGGGAGTGGTGCTGGCACCGGGAACACCAGCGACAGGAGTACCGGTGGGAGCAACGCCGGAGGGGGTCTCGGCGGGGGCGGTGCCGGTAGGCACGGCAGGAACGTTAACGGTCTGGGAGCCGGACTCGTTAGGGCCACCGGGGATCACAGTTGAGCTGACGATCGCGGAGGTCTCGGTGTCGCAAGGGGTGGTGCTGGCACCGGGAACACCAGCGACAGTAGTACCGGTGGGAGCAACGCCGGAGGGAGTCTCGGCGGGGGCGGTGCCAGTGGGCACGGCAGGGACGTTAACGGTCTGGGAGGAGCCAGACTCGTTGGGGCCACCGGGGATCACAGTAGAGCTAACGATCTCCGAGGTCTCGGTGTCACAGGGGGTAGTGCTAGCACCGGGAACGCTGGCGACAGGAGTACCGGTGGGAGCGACGCCGGAGGGAGTCTCGGCGGGGGCGGTGCCAGTGGGCACGGCAGGGACGTCAACGGTCTGGGAGCCAGACTCATTGGGGCCACCGGGGATCACAGTAGAGCTGACAATCTCCGAGGTCTCGGTGTCACAGGGGGTAGTGCTAGCACCGGGAACGCTGGCGACAGGAGTACCGGTGGGAGCGACGCCGGAGGGGGTCTCGGCGGGGGCGGTGCCAGTGGGCACGGCAGGGACGTCAACGGTCTGGGAGCCAGACTCATTGGGGCCACCGGGGATCACAGTAGAGCTGACAACCTCCGAGGTCTCGGTGTCACAAGGGGTGGTGCTGGCACCGGGAACACCAGAGACAGGAGTACCGGTGGGAGCAACGCCGGAGGGAGTCTCGGCAGGGGCGGTGCCGGTGGGCACGGCAGGCACAGCGACAGTGACGGAGCCGGAGCCGTTGGGGCCGGGGATGACGGTAGAGCTGACAATCTGCGAGGTCTCGGTATCACAGGGGGTGGTGCTGGCACCGGGAACGCTGGGAACCGGGGTGCCGGCGGGAGTAGAGGCGGAGACGGAGACGGAGGCACCGGGACCGGAAGGCACAGCGGAGGTGCCGGGCAGGTGGGGGGTGCTGGAGGGCAGGCTGGGAACGGAAGACGAAGCGGGGACGGAGGGAGCACCGGGGATGCTGCAGCCGGTGAACCACTGGATGATGATGATCTCGATGGAGACATCGATGTCAATGGAAGTGCAGCCACTGAGGAAGGCAGCGAGCTCAGCACGGGCAGCGAGGCTCAGGTCAAGCAAGCTACCGCCGGCAGCGCAGAGGGAAAGGGCACCACGGAGGTCAACGCTGAGACCGGAGAGGGTGTCGGTCAGGAGACCGGTGACATCGCCGACGAGGCCACCGACCAGGTCGAGGGAAGCGGAGACATCAGTCTCGACAGCGAAGGACAGCCAAAGAAGGACGACAGCCTTCAGCTCAACGCCCAGAGAGCAGTCGGAGCTGTGGAGCCAGATGGCGAGCTTGGTGCGGATGTCGAGTTCGACGGCGGTGGCGAGTTCACCCTTGGCGCATGCCTCGAGAGCGAGCTTGACATCAGTAGAGAGACCAGCAGCGAGATCAACGCCCAGGAAGGCGGCGAGAGTGGCCTGGCCGCCAACGGACAGAAGGCCGGACTCCAGAACGTGTACACCGACGGAAGCACCAACGGAGATGGTGGAGAGAGCAGTGTCAGCAAGAGCACCAATCTCAACAAGGTCACCACCGGCGTGACCATTGATCCAGGCAAGAACCGAGACCTTGAGGTGAGCGCTGAGGTCACACTCCTTGCTGTTGATCCAGGCGAGGAGGGAAGCCTTGATATCAGCTGCCAGACTGCCGACAACACCGCCAGCGGCGCAGACATTCAGACCAACCTTGACACCGAGATCAAGATCCAGTCTAGCCTCAATCCAAGCGGAAAGGGAAGACTGAGCACTAGCACTCAGGACGAGAGCGGACTCGAGGTTGGCAGCCTCAAAGATACCGTCAACGGTCACGTAAAGCTGGCCCTGGGCAGCGATATCGGCACATCCGGGGATGTAGACGGACAGAGCAGCCAGGATGTCTTCGGAGAGGACGAGCTCGTCGTTACCCTCACACCAGGAGATCAGGGACTTCTTGAGAGAGACATCCAGGTGGGCGTGGAAGAGCAACCAAAGTTTGAGGGCGGCCTTAGCCTTGTGGTGGATGACGCCGGACTTGCAGCCAAGAGCACCACCGGAGAGAGCGGCAGCACCTTCAGCGCTCAGACCAGCAAGAAGTTCAACCGAGGAGTGGGAGGAGTGGCCACCGAGGACGGCACCGAGGATCGAAGTCACGTCGACAGTGATGTCACCGAGGATCTCACCGAGGAGACCCAAGGTACGGGGCTCCACGACCTTGTCGGTAGGGTAGGCGAGAGCCGCGCCCGCCAGACCGGCGAGCATAACGAGAGAAGAACGCATGATGCGTTGTTTTTGTGTTGTATTAACGAGTGTAATAGACCCAAAACTAGTTGGATGTATATAAAGTCTTCTGAACAAGGGTATACAGAAGCGAAAGACTGGACAGGCAGGCAGAAAGCCGCCAAAGGAATTAACGATAGACTGGAAAGAGGAAAAAGAGAAGAAAGACAGTTGAACAATTGAAGATTCGAAGAGGTGATCGCCATGGTTATATATAAAACCCCTGATTAACTTATGAGCCGGGAGGGATCCGGGCATCAATTCCAGGTACTGAACTGTATTGGAATCGGAACACACTCAGACTGGTTCTACCCCGGTCTCCAATTCCACATTTGGAGCTATCGACCCCTTGGGGCCTCAGGGATGAGAAAGATGGAGACTTGGGATCTTTCAAGTGGATCATGACTCCTGAGGGGCTAACAGGTTAGTACTCCGTGCTTGTGGGCCATGCTCTGAACTATTTTTGGTAGAGTTGGGAAAATTGTATCATATTTATGGAATTTAGGATATTTAGATATTTAGATATTTATGATATTCATCATATTCATTATATTATACTCCGTCCATTTGGGTAGAGAGAAACTCATTTGGAAGTGGAAGATATATGCCCCCCTCAGAGACAGACAGACCCTAAATGAGAAATAAACATCCCAAAAAAAGAAACCATAAAAAAAAGAAAAGAAACCTGCCAAGTCATAAGGGGAAAAAGATCAACAAGATCAACCTTGGGACGGTTGAAACGGTCTAATATCACCATTTTGTGTCCTCCCCCTTTTCTATCTCCACAGTTGGAACTATATTCTACTCTACACATCTATGGAGTAACAACATACGCCTTATAGTCCAAGTCCAAGTATCTGATTCTCATGAACCCTGTACTCCGTACTCCGTACTAAGAAGTATATGCGACATTCCGAGTGGGCTGTCAAATGCATGTTCCACTGCTTCCGGGGAATTAGCGCAGGTACAGCATGCTCTTGACTCTATTAGGCAAAGATGGACACGTCCGATTTTGTCCAACTTGCACCTGTCAATTCAAGATATATTGTACTCCGTACTCCATACACGATAGCAATTAGGGCTATTTATGGGAACTTGTCAGACCAAGTGAATTTTCGCTCTTTTCCGAGGTAGGGAGTACTTTTGATCAACTTGGATCATACTAGTACTTTTCATATGGAAACTAGTACGAAGTATAGAGTACAAAGTACATAGTTAACTAGTTACAAAGTAACTACAACGCGAGAGCCTATTCCCAAAATATACGGTCGGCAAGAATGCATATGGTTACACTTTACAGGTTGTGAAGAGGAGGTTCTTGACCAACTAACTATTGCAGAATAACCCCGTATGTTGTACTCGACACAAAACAAGGATAGTTAGCAGCATCTAGGCCTTTCTAATGTTGTTTGACAGCACTAGTGAAGACACTACCTAGTCGGGTTTAAAATGTGAATGAAATATGAATTTATGCAACTCACGTATGGAAGCATCTCCACTGGGTGGATTGGCATAGTCAAATCAGAATGGTCTATTCCAGATGGATTAATATCAAAAACAAGCTAAAAATGCCCTAGGCCGTAGAGTGGAGAAAAGCCATATCCCTTAAAAATTGCAAATTTGATTTTGAACCACAACATAGTTACTTGGTTAATATGCTGATGGCACTGGATGTTCCATATAGGAGTCAACTAAACCAATACCAAAAACAGTAGACGACTACTCAATGAATTTTGAGAAATAATCACCATTAAGCTTCTCTTCCACTGCTCCACAAACTACCGGTTCTCAAACAACACTATGGAGTAAAAAGTTGTGATCTGCATAAATGAAAATGTCTCACTCCACGAGCTCCACGGGTACAATAATGGAGCACTTGCAGACGGTGTATGTGATGGTCAGCCTCTCAACTGGCAGGATACTCAGGCACTTGCACTTTGGAAATTGTGATGGGCTGATTTGTAAGAGCTGGGCACATACAACATACAATATACAACATAGTTAGGTAGTTATATTATTGTAGCAGTTCTCATCTCCAGCTGCAGGTACCCGACCCGCTGTTAGGATCAATGCAGGTATCTTTGCTACGGCTCGGGAAAAATGACTAGAAGTAAATGGAATAAAATAGAAACCAAATGTTGAGATGATGATAAATGTTATACGGAGGACACAAAGTACGTGTCTCCAATAATACTTCGACTTCCACACCATAATATCCGAGGGGCAACACGAGTACGAAGTACAAAATACAGTCTCAAACAAAGAAAAATAAAACAAAAACTAAACCCATTAGGCTCAACTAGTCCAATGCCTCTCTGCGATAGTCGTTTATTCGGAACAATCGAAAATATTTTTAGAATTATGTATAGTTAACTAGTTAGTTATATGAGTAGTAGTTTGTTGTACTCGATCTCTCCAAAGGTACTATATTCCCCACCCTTTCGGAAACAGTCGGATGTTTCATCTTTGAATCAGTTCGACCAAAAAAATAACCAACTCTGCAATGCTCAGATCCATCAGGAACCTCACTCTACTTGAAACAGTTGCTATTTTTATTTCCGATCCACCAGTTCACGCCAAGATCTGTCGAGTAAAACCCTTTTAAGCTTCCCAAAAAACCAACAGTTTCATGCACCCGGACTTTTGCCGTGGATGGCGGGCTGAAAGACAGAAAAGACCATCCTCAACCCCCCCCAATTCTCAACCTGAAACAACTTGGCAAGGTTAGCTGAAGGTTAACTGTCAGGAACACCCGATCACCCGATCACCCGAATTACCCGATCGAGATAAGTATACTTCTAACTAAAATCTCTGATACCAGATGGGAAGGAAAAAAAACAACGACTCCAACGATATCACTAATGGAAACCGTGGAACGTCCTCGGATCGCAACACTTGAAACGACGGCTCGTTTTTGTCCTTTTTTGTTGAGATACACGAAACAGGAACTGGATCTCATTCCTACAACAACCTAGTTACTCTCTCGACCGAGTTCTCTTCGATCTATCGTCCCATACGGAGTACATCCTCCAATACGGAGTACATCCTCCAATACGGAGTACATCCTCCAATACGGAGTACAGCAACCCAACCCCTTCATTCCACGCTAAGGTGAGCTCCTGAATCCACGGGTCCAAAACACCATACCCATACCACACACCATGACTGGGAGTTATACCAAATTCAGACCAAGGTCAGAGAATTTCCGGAGTTCACCGGCGAGGACAAGACGAGACGTCCCATATCACATGTAACGGGGAGTGGGGTTCGACGGCAAGAATCCATTTTGGAAGTGCCGAGGTCAACATAGTACAACACACATACTAGTTATGCTGCTACACTCTATACTGGATGTTGTAGACTGGTTGCCGGGAATTTGAAGTCTTTCTAGAATTCCTGTTCCAAGGTTCTAGATCAACTTTATTCATACAAGCCCTAACTAATATATTCTATTATTGAGTTTGTGAAAGAGACTATCTACATCCACAGCATAAAAAAGCACAAAAGCAGCACCGCCATCAAGAAACTCAACCCGAGTCCTTGATTCGGGCTAACCTACTTCGAATCCAAGTAGCGAACGGCGCGAAGAAATGTGTATCACCATTACCAGGCCATTCACAAAACGCCAGAAGAGCCCGATATCGTTCAGACGCAGCCGTTGAAGAGGCACAAAGTATCTTCGCCAGATCAACCGGGCAGAGATAAGGCGGCTGTCTTACGTCCTCGCTGATAGACGCAGTGCCTTGCATTGAGCATGCGTAGTACACACAATGGGCAATACCAAAGTAGTGTCCCAATTGTTGGCTGACCGTCCGACAAACACGACCCAACCAGAGCGCAGCAAGTAACGAAGGCGATGAATCTACCTCCGGGAGGGAGCAGTAGACTGAGACCGCATCCCCCACAGGACCGTCTAGCTCCGAAGTCGAATTCTGTGATCCTCGACCATTGTCCCGAGATTTCCTTTTCTGTCTTTTCGCACTTGGTTCTGCCGAAGCACATGTCAACATGTACTTATCGCAATGCGATGCAGGCCATGCATGGAGACGCTCAACATCTTGGATATCATCCAATGTGGGATTTTATCTTGCGCTGGATACCACTGCAACGAGACTTCCTCCGTATGCACGGCCACATACAAACTCGTCCTCGTCCTCGTAGAGGTCGAAGTCAACAAGAATCAAGAGGGCATATGCATCGTTCGGTAAAATGCTAATGGCAACATCGAGAAGATCGTCTAAATTGACTTGGCCCGCATATGTCCCATCGGACAAGGTACGCGAGCGAATGCGCACGCACTCGTCGCCAGATTGCACACCTAGGTATTGCGGGCCTGTCTTTTCCCGTGGTCTCTTTGTGGGTTCTTTCCAGGGAATAAACCGCAGGGTAGATGGTGGCATCATCTTAACTGGAAGACCGTGATAGAAGGTAGTTAGATACTCCCGCACGTCCTTCGCACTAGGGGGCTTTGGGGAAAGCTCGTCGTCTGGGTGTTTTGGTGTTGTCCATTTTCGCATGAAGTCAACATCTGGGTCAATTTGAGGAGATGGAACGATACAGACGGTTTTTTGTTTTGCAGTTACCGGGTTGCGGTGCTTATCATCAAGCCATTCTTGAAAACTCTGTGGTCTTCTTCGAGGAAGAGTTTGTCTTCTCGTGGGAAGCTTCGGTTGTCTGCTTTGATTGCGGCGAGACGTTGCCGTGGACCTTGTCTTCTGAAACCATCTTCTGAAACTGGCTACGGCAGCATGAGTAGAGGAGGACAAGCAGATAGATTTATGATCACACGTTGAGATGGACTTTCGTGGCATACTGGAAATTCTATTCCAAATATAAAGAAATAATAAGTAGACATCGGGAAGAAAGGGGGATACGACATGTCTGTTAGGCGCACAAACCCTTACTAAGGACGGAGTAGTCATCGAGGAATTGAATCATTTTGAAAAGGAAATTAAAACGGTTACTAGATTTTTAGACATCCTCTGAACTTGGTAACATTGAAATTCGGAGTAAAATATATATATAAAAGGCCGTTCTCGTCGTATATCAAACACCAGTCAACACTGTTTCCAGACTTCGAATGAAGCGTTGAACATCATCCTCACTGATCAACTGACGATTACCCTCAAATTCAAGATCCAGCTTCCCATCTCGTGGGGTAGCATATATTTCCGGTCGATTTCGAGGCAGCAGATCCGCCTCGTAGAATGATATCCGACTTTCCGTCCCAAGGAAAGTGAAGTTACGATCATCTTCTTGCTGGAAAGAGGTCCGCCAGCCGAAGTCCTTTGTATCATCTGGCCAATTAGTGCAGTTCCGGATAATTTCTTCCATCCCGGCGGTTTCGTATCGAGAATCCTTAATGAGCTGACGCTGTAATTGCAATGCAATCCCTGAAAGAGTAGCATGGTCATCAATGTGCACGCTGATAGGAATCTCGGTCATAGATGGCCCGACCACATTTTGCAGACTGCTCGGTAGCATTGTCCGGCCAGTGACCAGACGTCCAAAAACAACGTGAGCTTGCTGATACTGGCGGGACAATACCATGGCACATGCGGCATGGAATAAAGTTGCGGGTGACATCCCCTCAACCAAGCGCCCTTCGGGTATTGGAATCGTCGCTTTCACCGTCAGCCGGTCTTTGGTAGTGTACACACGGTTGGAATAATCTACACTACTCCACTTGGGATTTGGAGTGTGCTCAAGGCGCGAGGTCCAGTACGCAAAGGCGTCTGTCTTCCTGTCCTCTCTATAGGTGATATACTGAGCAAACTTGGGTTCGTCAGGCAGAGTGTCGCCACAGTAGAGTGAAGAGAGACTGCGGAGAACCGTATCCCAGCTAAATCCGTCAAATTGGGCGTGGGAGATCCGGAAAATGAGTCGGTGTTGCCCAGAGGGACTCCGTACTGCCATGAATCGGATGAAGGAAGAGCCAAAGGCTCGAACCCGTTTTCGATCTAGCTCACAAATGGAATCGACGAAGGTTGTAATATCATCGTCTTGATTTGCCTGGAAGTTGTCATACGCAGGATTCAAATGTTCGAGCAAGACTTGCCAGTATCGACCGTGCGTTTGGATGAACACCGTACGAAGGACGTCGTGATGGTCTACTAACTTGCGGCACGACCACTGTAACCGCGAGAAGTCGACATCTGCTGGGAGATCGAAGATCCAATGAGGCAATCGGCTGGGTGGGTCCTGGAACGCATCCAAAATTGCACAGGCTTGGAAGTCAGTGCAAGGAAGTACATCAAGAACATTCCCAGCTCCTGGGTCGAGGAGCGGATCGACAAAGTCAGCGAGGAAGGGCTTTGGTTCACTCGTCTCGAGCAAAGCGAACGGTCGCAGCATTGGCAGAGACTCCTCCTCAGTGGCTTCCTGAACTAAAAGGGCGAGTTGAGAGAGACGTGGCGCGTTGAAAATATCCGCGACTGTGAGCGTGAGCTTCTCATTTCGTGCTGCTGCCACCAGTCGCATGGCTGCGATGGACTCTCCACCAATTCTGAGGAAGTTGCTGTCGGCATTGATAATGTGCGGATCCATTCCAAGAACCACCGACCATAGTACTTGCAATCTCTGTTCCATAACAGTGGTGGGCGCGCGATGGGATTTCCCGTGAGACTGCAGTTTTGCTAGCTTCTCCAAAGTCTGAACGGCTCCCAACTGCCGTAGAGTTCTTCTATCTGTTTTGTCGGTGGTAGTCATTGGAATCTTTTCAATGGGGATGTAGGCACCAGGAACCATGCTAGGAAAGAATCACAGTTAACCCCAGTCGTATTTCTCGAGAGTAGAAAAAGCGCTGTTGAATGGGAGGACACTTACTATTGCGGTAAAGAATTGGAAAGCCTATCCTCCAAACCGTCGATCAAGCGCGCCAGCTTCGATAAAGTGGCTTCCTCGGACCACTCCTCCTCAGGGGGAGATAGGGCAAAAAAGACGGCGAGAATGGGACTGCTATTGTTGGGGGTAATAATCTCTGCCGCAAGGCCATCACATAAATCAGGATGGCGGAGGTTAGCACGGATATGGTATTCTACTTCAGCCAGCTCAACTCGCTGACCTCGAAGTTTGACCATACCATCCTTACGACCGAGGAAATCTAGCGACCCATCTGAATTGTATCGAAGTAGGTCGCCCGTCTTATATAAGGTGGCCTGACGGCCTGGAAGGCTTGATGAGCCTTGCAACAGCCAGGAAGGATTCTGAATGTACGAAGCAGCAGTCTTGTCCGAGTCATTAAAATACCCTCGACTGACCGTGGGACCCTCAATTAAAAGCTCTCCCACGGCACCAATTGCGGCCAGACGATCGGGACGGCCCGGTTGCACCAGCCATGTCCGGGCCCCATATGAGTACCCTACATGATTGTTTCGCCCGTTGGACCGGAGAGGCGTAAACGTGAGAGCCTGTGCACATTCAGCGGGGCCGTAGATCCCAATGACGGCCTCAGCCTGCTTCCACCGAGCAACCTCAGTGGTAGGGATGGGTTCGCCCCCCATGGCCAAAGTTTTGAGCCTAGGCATGTTAGATGGCTCCAAAGATCGCACCACGGAGGGGGTGAAGTAGGAATAGTTGCAATTCATGCGATTGAACGCCCCCGCAATGTCATTTCGACGCTCCAACTCGTCGGGAATACAAAGACAGCCTCCACGGATCAATGTCTGAAGAGTATTGGACCATGACACATCAAAGCTGTACGAAACAAAGTCAAATACACGTGTGCCTGGCTGAATACGCAGCATCTCTGCTTGATGCACTGCAGCAGATGCGAAATTCTGATGTGTAGTCACGACGCCTTTAGGTGTTCCCGTGGAGCCGCTGGTGAATACCACTGATGGAAGAAGTTAGTACAGTGACTGGGGGGTGGAAGAGAAACTAGTATGAACGCACCATATAGAACATTGGATGGGTGAACTGTAGGCAAAGGCCGAGTGAGAATATCTTCGGCCACCAAGTCGAGGCAATCTTGATCAATAATAATAACTTTAGTATTAGATAAGTGACGTGCCAATCCGGCGGTTTTCGCCGATGCTAGGACGACCCGAGGATTGACTTGTCTGACGATGGACTGCAGTCGGGATTCCGGTTGAGTCGAGTCCATCGAGAGACACGCAGCACCTGACTTCATCACTCCAAGGGCAGCCACTGGATGCCACATAGACTTCTCAAAGCAAAGTGGAATGATGGTACCGGGACCAACGCCAGAAACCATCAAGTGAGAGGCCAACCGATCGGAAAGTTGGTCCAACTCGAAATACGTTAGATTGCCGTTCCAGGCACATATGGCTGGCCGATCTCCATAATTCTGAGCAGTTGCACTGATTAAGCCGTGCACACACTCAGGAATTGCCGGAGGCACAGACAAGTTCCATTTCCATAGCTCTGCTAGGTCGGCGCCACTGAGAGTCTGAATCTGATCGACAGGCTGAGTTGTGCCTATACATACTTGGCGTAAGACGTGCTCGAATTGAGAGGCAATTCGTTCCATCTGCGTTGCATCTACCACCCTAGAATCAAAGCTGAACTCAAGTTGCAGACCATTCGTGTTGGTAAGTTGACACATGATCATGATAGCATTTGGATTGGAGTCATCTAGATCCTGAATTGCAGAGACTAGTTCTCTGGGATGCTCGTAGGGGCCATCGTGATGATCATCAGTCTGGCCTTGACTAGCAGGCTGAACAACGAGAAGAGTATTGAATCGGCTTCCTCGATCAGTGTTTGCATCAATGCGCCGAATTGTGAGCAACTCAGACTGTTCGTAGGCAATCATGTCAATGGACTGCTTTTGGATGTTAGAGAGCAGACTATCGATCGATTCTTGGAAGTCAAGTTTGACTCGGACAGGCACAGCATTTATAAGAGGCGCGACCACGCGGTCCAAACCTTGGAGAGGAGCTTGTCGTCCCGTGACCATGGCGCCGAAAACCACATCGTCCGAGTCCATGTACCGCGCAGTGAGGATGGCCCATGATGCACGAATGACTGTGATGATAAATACGTTAGCAACCCCCACGGAAAACAGAGTTCATTAAGAGGGAACATTAGGAACATACTAGTTGACGGAGTGACATCTCGCTGTGGCCACTGGAATGCCTCCAGATTACGTCGTACTGTGCTATCTGCTTTGGGTTGATGATCTGCGTGAGGCAATGCTGGGAAGGGGATTGCCTCGAAATCTGCGAATTCACGACTCCAAAAGTCCTTTGCCTTCTCAGCATCAACCGCCATGACATGCCTGATAAAAGCTTGGAATGATGCCACTGGGGCATTATCATCAAGGACGCCATCATAAGCTTTAGACACCTCGTCCACGAGAAGGTTCAATGAATAGCCATCATATATCGCATGATGCTGAGTGAGCAGACAGTAATGCTCCTGGTTGCGTTCATCTTCAACAATGACAAGCCGAGTCAACGGGGTGGCTAGACCCATGGGCCTGTTTTCATATTTTTGGAGATATTGCTGCAGCGGTTGAGGGACGTCCCAGTGCAGCGGTTCATCAACAATACCTTGCACGAGACCATCTGTTGGACAGTCCACAATTCGTGAACGAAGGATTGGAGCAGAGGCTCTACTCACCATTTCCCACGCATTCACGAGCCGCGACTCGTCGACATTCTTCCTCAATTTGAGCAAGAGTCGAGCGACATATGAGTTGGCGCGTTTGGCGGTCATGGAGAGCAGTGATTTTTGGACACCCGTACAAGGGAAGATGTCTTCAATTTGGCTGTTATGGATCTGGCATTGGCTCGCGAAGTCATCCAAGATGATCTTTTGCTCCGAGGGGTGCTCCAGAAGAGAGAAGGGATTGACCACTTCCATCTCCTTGGTGTCTTTCGGAGACAAGGCAGACATTGCCTGTGCCATTTCAGACAATCGACGCGTGGTGAGAATATTATGAACTGACAAGGACAGCCCTTGCATACGAGCCAAAGAGGCCAACCGCATCGCCGAAATGGAGTCGCCACCCAGACGAACGAAGCTACTCTCGGCTCCAATCCTCTCGGCGGGTACACCAAGGACTTCAACCCATAAGGTTTGTAGGTGGCATTCGGAGGCTGTGCTTGGGGGCAACATAGTTGCAGGAGCATCGCTGCGCGTCAATACTTCTAGAGTCAAACTAGAGCCCATCTCGCGCAACCGTCATCGGTCAGTCTTGCCACTCGCCGCCATAGGCATAGATGGGGTTGCGATATAAGTTGCAGGGACCATGTAGGACGGAACCCGGCTCGGCAACTCAGCTTCGAGATAGGGCAACAAGTCGGCCAACTGTGCTTGGTCGCAGTCAATAAATACGGCAAGCATTGGCCGGCCTGTGACGGTTGGCTCTATAACCTCTGCCACTGCCGTTGGCGCAGCTCCTGACGAAGATCGATCCATTAGGCACTGCATGACATGATGCTCAACATCTGCAAGCTCAATGCGTTGGCCTCGCAATTTAACCTGGGTGTCCTTTCGACCCACGAACGCGAGATTTCCAGTGAGTGGATGATATTTGACAAGGTCACCAGTCTTATACATCCGACCACGCCGCCCCGGGACTTTTCCGTCAGGAGAGCCCTGACCTAGCCAGTAAGGATTCTCAATGAAGGCTGCTGCTGTTTTCTCTTCATTCTGGAAGTACCCTTGTCCCACTAGAGGTCCCTCGAGACACAGCTCACCTACGGTCCCAAGAGGTGCCAGTCGGTCATGGTTCTCAGGGTCCACCACCCAGGTCAGAACGCCGATACCTTTCCCGATAGAGTGTACGACAGTGGCTGGCGTCTTGGGAACTCGATGATAGAGGGTAATAGCAGAGCATTCCGAAGGCCCATACACCTCGAATGCGTTGACAGGTGGGGCCCATCTAGCGAGATCCTCTGGCAAGACCGCCTCACCCCCGAGAAAGAGATAGCGTAGGGTAGGAGTACGCTGCGGATCTATCCACCGCGCAGTGGAAGGGGTTAGGAAGATGTGCGTGGTCTCAAACCGGTGCACGCTCTCGGTCAGATCGCTTTTTCGTTCTTCCTCGCTGGGGATACATAACGTGCCCCCGGCATTCCATACGTGAAAGAGGCACCAGTAGACTGCATCAAATGAGTAGGAAGAGAAATCATATAGACGCGTCGTTGAATTCATTTCAAGCGTGGATTGCTGGTGGACCACTGCACTGGTGAATTGTTGGTGATGCATGAGACATCCTTTGGGAGTTCCGGTGCTGCCACTTGTAAAGACGGTGTATAAAAGATCATCTGAAGATACAGACGGCAGGTCGTGACTTTCGGGTGTCATATTTATCACATCGGCCTCAAAGAAGGTTGATCCCTTCCCCAAGGGCACTGGGTGAGTCACCCATCGTGAACACCGATGTTCCTGAGAGATTGATGACAATAGCACAGTGGGATTCACCTGCCGCAATATACCATCAAGACGAGCGTCTGGCAGTGATGGATCTAAGAGGAGGGTGGCACCACCGGCTTTCATAACGGCAAGCACTGCGAGCATAGCATACATGCTTTTCTCAAAGCAAAGCGGCACAATCATGTTCCTTTTCACTCCAATGCTCACTAGGTAACCTGCGAGCCTGGTTGACAGCCGATCTAACTCAGCATATGTTAAACTACCATCCCACGCAGATATGGCCACTGAGTCAGGCTGGCGTTGTACAACTTGCTTGATTAGATCATGCATGCACCGATCTATAGCGGCAGGCAAATTTGCGTTCCAGGTCCAGATGTCATTCAGATGAGACTGGGTCATCATGTTTACATCTCCCAGCGTACTATGGGGCAATTTCTGTGTGCACATGGTCCGAAGGGCCTGATCCAGGTGCGCCGCCATGGTTTGAATAGTCTCAGACTGAACAATGGCAGAGTCATAGCACAACTCGACCTTCAGCCGACCTGGCTCTAGGTTGCACACTACCGATAACGCATAAGAGCTAAAGCTATGGTATCGACCAGCCTCATTATGTTCAGCCGACCGACAGACAAACAAGCCAGTATCGTCCATAGTTTGCTCAGGTGGTTGGATCACGAGCAAGGTCTGGAAGCGACATGCCTCTTCTGCCGACGTGCTGACTTGCCGGATGTTCGACAATCCTGTTTGCTCATGAGGGACCATGTCTCGCTCTTGATCCTGGATCGATTGGAGAAATTGTGAGACAGTGGCATCGCTTTCAATCTGCACACGAACAGGAACTGTGGCAATGGTTGGGCCTGCGATTCTCTCTGTGCCCTGAATGGGGGCTTTACGACCCATGACCACTGTGCCGAACACCACGTCGGACGAGATCGCATATTGGCCGTATACGAGGCTGAATGCTCCACGGATTATGGTCGAAGGAGTGAACCCATCTGTTCGCCATTTAACATCGTCGATTACAACAGTTCGGGTGGAATTCGTTCTTGGCTGGTAGCTAGCCGAGGGAAGCAGTGGGAATTGCGAAGCTTCACATCTTTCAAATTGTGTCTTCCAAAACTTGGCGTCGGCTTCCTTATTCTGACTGGAGATGTATTTGACGAATGACTGGAAGGGACATAGTCGAAGAGGCGTTTCTCCATAGTAAAGACTCTTTAGCGTGCCCATTATCATGGCTGAAGCCGGCCCATCATATATCGAATGATGCATAGTCAATGCAAAGGACCGGCGCACTGGGCCGGAAGCACCAGATGCTTCATCAGTTGACTTGAATGAAAACAACCCACAACGCATGAGAGGGGTACCCAACCCCATGGGATATTGACGGTCCTGTTCCAGGTATTCATCCAGGCTCCCGGCCTTGCTCCAATCTGCTTTTTCTCGGATCACGGCTTGAACAAATCCCTGCCCAGGAAGATTGACTATACGTGTGCGGAGGATAGGCACTGTGCGCACCAGCTCTTCCCAGGCATGTTCGAAGCGGCGGACATCTATCGAAGGGTCTAGCTCCTGCACATTGCGACCGGTGTAATCCCCGTGGGACTTGATGGTTAAAGCTAGCAAACCTGTTTGGAGAGAGGTGCAAGGGAATAAATCTTCAATGTCATCCTCATTCACAGCACAGGCGGATGCTGCCTGGTGGCGGGCTAGCTTCAGGTCTCGGCCATGATCCAATAGCGTAAAAGGCTCAATGCTGTCATCTGGTGCATCCTCCAAGTTTTGCAGGAGGCTAGCCATCTCTTCCAAGATGGGAAATTCCATCACCCCGGCGACGGTGAGCAGCAGGCCGTGTTGGCGAGCGGTACCTACCAATCGCATGGCATCAATGGAGTTACCAACCTGCAGGAAACTGTCGGTGGCCGAGATTGTCTCCGATTCGATTCCTAGAGTAAGAGACCACAGCCTCACTAAAGTGATCTCGGCGGTTGTGGCTGGTAGCCGTCCCGTGGATCCTTGGCTGGATGGAGTTGACGACGCAGCAATCTCAAGCAGCCGCCTTCGATCTCGCTTCCCGTTTGTAGTCAAAGGAACACTTGGAAGTGCAATATACCACGAGGGGACTGCATATCGAGGCAGAACCGCCTGAAGCTTTTGGTTGAGTCCTCTGGTTAATTGGTCGATATCCTCTTGGGTGACGATGAACCCCACGAGTATCATTCCGCCTCCACCTGGGAGCGAGATGGCATCGACGATGACCTCCGTGTGTTCGCCTGGTCGATCAAGACATTGTTGAATTTGGGTCTCGACCTCTTTTGGCACCACTAATTGACCAAGTACTTTGAGTTGGGAATCCTTCCGCCCCAAGAACACCAAATAGCCGTCGGAGTCATATCGGGCCAGATCCCCTGTTCTATAGACACAACCCTGCCTTCCTGGACGAGTAGCCCCAAACCCACGAGAGAGGAATGTGGGGTTTTGGTAGAAGTGCTTGTCTGTGAGAGACGCATTTCCGACATAGCCACTGGCACGTGCAGGGCCCTGCACCACGATCTCGCCGATTGCACCAAATGGAACAAGTCTGTGGTGGTTTTGAGGATCTACTAGCCAGCAGCGGCACAAGTCAATGTGTGCAATCACACCGCTGGACCAATTGGGCTCATCGGCCGGGTAAACGGTAACTGCAGGGAATTCGGCGGGCCCGTACCAATTGCGGACAGCGCAGCTTCCTTTCCACCTTTCAACGTCGCCCTGCAAAACGTTTTCACCCCCCATTACAATAGTGGAAAGCCCCGGTACGTCTTGCGGACGCAGCAATCGCGCGGTGGATGGGGTGATAAACGCCCAGTTCGCCCCAAAATGATTAATTGCAGCCGCGATACCATCGAGGCGTTGAGCTTCAGATGGGATACAGAGACAGGCCGTGTGAGTCAGCCCAATAATTGTTTCCAGCGTCGAGACATCAAAATCGTACGATGAGAATTGAAACATGCGTGAAGAGGGGGTTACCAACAAACGCAGAGTCGGTTCCTCTGCGTTTGCAGCCAGAGCTCGGTGACTCCAGAGAACATGTTTCGGTTCACCAGTGCTCCCCGAGGATACTAGAATCGAGGCTGGGCTATCCATCTCCAGGACAGGTAGTGGCGTGATGATTTCTTCCAATGGGGTCTCCAAAATTTGCTCCATGGTAATACAGCGAGCATATTTTGAGACCGTCGCCAAGCGCCCGGGTGAAGCTAGGGCAACTTCTACACCAAGATGCTGGAAAGTACGATTCATTCTCTGCTCTGGCATGTCTGCTGATTGTAGCAGAGTCACTCCACCGGCTTTCCAGACGGCAACCTGAGCCAGTGGCATATATCGAGACTTTACAAAGCACAAGGGCACAACGGACCCTTTCTTGACTCCCAGATGCAGCACTAACTTGCGCGCGACAACGGTAGAGATTTGGTCCAGCTCGCCATATGTGAACTGGCCATCCCATGCATCAATGGCGATAGCCTCGGGGTTCGTTTTGGCACATAGACTAATCCTGTCATGTACAAACGTGGTTGGGTCCGGGGGTAGGTCTGCGTTCTGGGCCCAGAAGCGCTCCAGGTCGAGCTCACTGACTGTCTGGAGGGTGTTCAGTGTCGTCCTATCGGGGGACTTTGTACACAACTGGCGAATGACTGTCTCCAGCTGACAGACCATCTTTTTAACCTGCCGCTTGTCGATGATCTTTGGGTCAAAGCTCATTTGAATGTTAAGTCCCGAGGTGGTAAGCTGACAGATGATCATTAAGCCATACACATTGAACGGGTCTGTCCCCATTGTGCTCAAATTGGAGGCAAAGCTCCGTGCCTTGAACAGCCGACTATCTTCATGCAGGCTGTTCCCTTTGGTTATTGGCTGGACCACCAGCAAAGTCTGGAACAACCCACCATTGCGATCCCCGTTGGCTCGTTGGATGTTTGGCAAGCCGTATTGCTCATAAGACATAATGTCCAACCCCTGTCTTTGGAGGCCTTGGAGGAATGTCTCGACCGTATTCCCCCAATCAATTGATACAGCAATTGGAACCGTTGCAATAGTTGGCGCTACGCAGTTTTGCATGCCGTTTATATTTGCCTGTCGTCCACCCACTGTCACCCCGAAGATCACATCGCTGGAGGCCACATACTGTGAGGCGAGGACCGCCCACGCTGCGCGGAGGATTGTGGATGGTGTCGCTCCCTTGGAAGGCCAGTTGAGGGCAATCGGATGCTCCACAAACCCACTGGCTTGTGGCTCATACGTGCCGGATGGTAGGATAGGGAATGAACGGAACTCAGCGCGAGACAGCTGAGCCTTCCAGAAATCATCCGATTCCTGTGTATTTATCTGACTCAAATGGCGAATGAAATGCTCCACTCCAGTGACCGTTCTTCCTGGCTGGTCGTAATACTGAGCCTGGAGTTCTTCGAGAACCATGGGCAGTGAGCTGCCGTCGTACAAGCAGTGATGAATGGTGAAGATGAACGTGCGATCGATGATGGCCGCACGGCAGAGCTGGGTCCCTAAGGCCATCGGCTCCGTCTCATCGGCATGCAAGTACTGCTGGATGTTTTGACCAGATCTCCAAGGTGTGTCATTGAGGACGGCCTGCACAAGCCCTTTACCAGGGAGATCCACGATTCGGGTTCGCATAATAGACAGCTTGGCGATTGTCTTTTCCCAGGCATTTTTGAGTCGGTCTGAGTCAATATCGCTTTGAAGTGGCAATACACTACGAGATACATATTGCCCATTTCTTCGGGCGCCTAGCGCCAGCAATCCCTCTTGAAGTGCTGTACATGGGTAGACATCAAGAACCTGATCTTGCGAGACTGAACAAATTTGGGCAACATATGATCGACAATGTGACTCGTCCACGCCCAGGGGTAAAAGCGAAAATGCTGGAATGTGATGCATCACATGACTTTCACCGTGGACCAATTTCTCGACCATCCTCTCCAGCTCGGGGAAATCGAACACATCGGCAACAGTGAGAGAAAAGCCATGGGTACAAGCCATTCCAACGAGGCGCATGCCGCTGATCGAGTCTCCTCCCAAGCGAAGGAAGTGATCGGTCGCGTAGATGACATCCGGCTCAACCACCAGCACATGAGCCCACATTTGCTGTAATAATCTCTCGTTCTCAGTGTTTACCTTTCTGGCTTGCTTTCGAGTTGGTTGCATTTCCGCCAATTGGGCCAACGTGAGGGAACTTCCAATTTCTCGCAATCGTCTCCTGTCTGTCTTTCCCGTCGAACCGATGGGAAGTTCACTAAGCGGTATGTACATCCTGGGAATCATATACGGTGGAAGAATGCTGGCAAGATGATTCTCCAGAGCATCGACCGGCCATTCACTTTGAAGATATGCATGGGGATCTGCGCGATGAACGGCATCAGCAGGACTGATGAAGAGGGCCAAAGTATCGTTGTCACCGCAAGCCGGAGAAAATATCTCTGCGACAAGTATTATGTCCACCAAACCGATCAAGAAGTCTTGGATACACCGCTCTATTTCTCCTAGGTCAATCCGCTGGCCTCGGATCTTTCGCTGAGAATCTTGGAGGCGCCCAAGGTAGATGATACGACCATCCGAGTCGTAGGTAACCAGATCCCCAGTACGATATACTGGACCTGGTCGACCAGGGGTCTTCCAGTGGCCATCTTGCAGCCACGATGGGGAAATAAAACTCTCTTTGTTCAACTCAGCGCCATTGGTTCCAGCATACTGAGCTAGCATAGAGCCCTCCATGCACAACTCGGCCACTGCTCCCACTGGAGCTAGTACGTTGGGGTCTTTTGGGTCGACAAGCCACGCAAGCCCGGCGCGACCTTGCCCAATCATGCCTGGACGCCAACTGTCGGGATCTACAAGGCACGAAGTAGCCACCGAGGCTTCCGCTGGCCCGTACCAGTTATATACGGTTTTCTGGGCGTCTAGCCACCGAAAAGCAGTCTTGTGCTCGAGCTTCTCGCCTGCAAATACCATCGTTTTCATGGATGGCAAATCACCAGCGCTCATGGTCTCTGACACAGATGGGGTCAGACACATCCAATTGGCGTCGTAGCAGTTGATTGCGTCGGTCAGCCGATTCCTTCGGTCAGTCTCCGATGGGATGCACAAGCAACCTCCAGCAAGCAAGGTAGCCAAAGTCTCTACTGTGCTCACATCAAAGTCGTAACCGGCAAACTGGAAAACTCGGCTCCTGTCGGTCAGTCCAAATGCCATGATGGCGGCTTTTATATTAGCTGATAAGGCGCTGTGGCTCCACGCAATGGCCTTTGGTGTTCCAGTAGAGCCTGAAGTAAATAGAACAAGAGCAGGATCACTGGGCAGGTGGCAATGTGGCAAAGGTTTAACAACAACATCGGAGCCTTTCATTTCCGGCCTAATGAGGTCGGCGATATTGAGGACTGGGACCAACACATGGAATGGAGATGAATCGGATGAGGTGGAGGTAACCACAATCTGGGGCTTCAAGCTCTCAACTACTTGCAAGGCTCGAGTTTTAGAAACCGGTATAGACATCGGCAGAACTATTGCACCAATTCCGAGGGCTGCAAGCATCATCACTGCCTGCCAAGCACTTTTCTCAAAGGTTAGGATAACCAATGACCCAGGAAGCACACCTTCCTGGCGAAGTCGCGCAGCCAGCGTTACAGACCAGGTCTGCACTTGTTGGGAAGTTAACTGCTGGTCCCACGCAGATATCAGAACTGCTTCTGGTTTCGCATCACTTTGCCGATGCAGACCATCGGTGATTGATTCAAACTTGGACTCCAGCCGCGCAGCGTTCCATGTCCAAATATCAGCCAAGTCATCCTTGGTGACAACGGTGACATCGCGCAGGCTCATCTGAGTACACTCTTCCGAGCATAGCTGCCGTAGCAAATGTTCAAATTGTACCGACATTCTCTGGACTTGTTTCGCTGGAATGGCACCGGAATCAAAGTTCATTTTCAATTCAACTCCAGACTCATGCAATTGACAGATAATCATCATCGCGTATGGGTTGTACATGCCGACGGTGTCGGCTTCTCCATCCTTGCAAACAACTTTCAAACTGCCCGGTTGGTCAGAGCTGCTAACAACACTACTCGTCCGGCTGAAAAGCCTGTCGACCTCGTGTCTGTTTGCCTGCTGAGCCGGCTGGATCACCAGGAGTAGCTGAAAAAGGTTTGTATCCTCAACCAATCTAGCAATCTGCTGCAACCCTAGCTGTTCATGCTCAGTGGCCTCCACTGCCTGTCTTTGAACCTGTTCAAGCCAGCTCCCAACTGTTTGATTCCAGTCGAATTTAGCGCGGACTGGCACAGTCGCGATTGTTGGCCCTGCAATCCGTTCGATCCCGGCCACAGCGGCCTGTCGCCCGCTGATCGTGGCTCCATACCTGACATCGTTGGAATTGGTGTATGAGGCTAGTAACAGGGCCAATGCTGCTCTAACAACCGATGACGGTGTGGTCCCCGAATGTATCCACGACATTTCGGAGATGTTATGGTTGAAGTCAAGCTTTCCCCCTGGCCGATAGCCCGGAGATGGGAAAGTTTTCGTTTCAGACCCACCATCTAGGTAGGTCTTCCAATAGAGCGATGATGCTTCTTTGTTCATCCCTTTTGTGTATTTCACAAATGACCGGAAGGGCAAAATAGACGAGGGGATTGTCTTCTCATCGTACTCGGCTTCAATGGCATCCAATATCAGCTTGGTGGACCATCCATCGAAGATCGAGTGGTGCATTTCTACAATAAGACTGGGGGATTCCCCAGAAACTAGCCCAGCCCGACACAAAGGGACTCCCAGTCCCATCGGAATTGACTCTTCGATGAAGTTGGTGATACTCTCGTACCGACCCAACATGATGGGGGAGCCGACAACAACTTGAACTAGACCATCGCTGGTTAGGTCGATGACTCTTGTTCGCAGGATCGATGCTTGATGAACGGTATTCAGCCATGCCTTTTCAAACCGAGATAGATCTATGTGGCCAGGAAGCTCAAACAATGTCCGTGCAACGTTATTGGTTTCGCCCCGAGCTGTGATAGAGAGCATGCCTTGTTGGAGTGCGGTGCACGGATATATATCTTCAACTTGAGCCAATTCGATATTGCAGAGTTCAGCAGCCTCCTCGCGCATTCTTTGGGTATCTGCAGGACGGTCCATTAGGGAAAATGGGGCAATTTCTTCGCTTTCAGAGGAGAAAGAATGCTCCCTGATGACGAGGGCAAGGTCACTCAGCACTGGACTCTTGAACACATCTGCCACCGTGATGGATAAATTGGCATTCCGTGCTGCCGCGACCAACAACATAGCTGCAACTGAATCCCCTCCTAAGCGGAGGAAACTATCTGTGGTGCTGATTCTAATCGATGGTATCTTCAATATGTGCGCCCAGAGCCCACGAAGCTGCTCCTCCATGGCAGTCGATGGGTCACGGTATTCTTGGACCGGGAGGATGGCTGACTGTAATTGAAGAAGTTCCTCCAAAGACAAACCATCTCCCAGCTCTCGCAGTTTTCGCCGGTCAATTTTGCCAGTGGCAGCCACCGGTATGTCTTCGATGGGGAGATAGATGCTGGGGAGCATAAATGCTGGCAACACACCATCTAGGTCGCGCACAAGATTATTTATCATGGCCTTGACTGTCTCGGGGTCCTTATTCTTATTCTGCACAAAGAGGGCAAGCAGTGCAGTATCGCTTCCCTTGGGAGTCACGATATCCGCAATTATTGTCAGTGCGTCGTTCAGACAAGCACGCGCATGGTGCTCCACATCGCCGATTTCAATCCGTTGACCTCTGATCTTCAATTGCGAGACATTTTTACGCCCTAGGAACAGGATACTTCCATCCGAGCGGGTCTTGACTAAGTCCCCGGTCCTGTATAGGCGGCCTTGCCGCCCCAGGTTACCAGGGCTCCCAGACAAAAGCCACGGTGGGTTATCGATGAACGCCTCGTCGGTCTTTTCTTGATTGGACAGGTACCCTTGCCCAACCATGGGCCCCTCGAGGTACAGTTCTCCCGGAGTTCCAGGAGGAACAAGCTGGCTGCTATCGTTGGGGTTGACAATCCAGAGACAGAATCCTGTGCCTCTCCCAATATCTGGGCGACCTTCCGCGTAGCAATGGAGCTGCGAGAACGTACATTTCCAGGTACACTCGGTGGGACCGTACGTATTGAGCAAACGAACACGGCCAGCCCATTGAGTCACATTTTCTCGATACGGCATCTCTCCACTCAGAAGTATAGTTTGAAGGGTCGGTGGGACCGAACTAATTGTTCGCAAAACAGTGGGAGTGATATTGATCAGGGTAGCCGCAAATGCCGTGATAGCAGCTGAGAGGTTATTCACCATATCTTGCTCGTTGGCGACGCACAGACAGCCGCCTGCACACAACGTATGAAGAACATTACTCCAGGCCACATCAAAGGAATAAGGTGCAAAGTCAAAGACGCGCGACTCTTGGTGGAAGCCAAGAGCTTTGCCCTGGTGATGTACCGCACTTCTCACGTTGGCGTGGCTAATACACGCTCCTTTGGGCTCGCCGGTAGTTCCACTGGTTTGTAGCACTGAAATTAGCACTCTTATTCCCTTGGAAAATTGGGTCATGGACTCTTACGAGGTAAAGGATATATAGACTATGTCGTTTGGTGATACCACCGGAAAATCAAGCGTCTGCTGTTTTATGGTACCAGCAATCTCCAGCAGACTATCGTCGAGCTGAAGGATGGGTGAACCGCACAAGAGAGATACTCTCTTTTGAGTTGCTGCGCAACAAATCATTGCTTTTGGTTGCGCATGTTTAATAATGGATCGCAGTCTCGCGTCTGGATGAATCGAATCAAGGGCAATAGCCGCACATCCGGCTTTGATGATACCCAACATGGCGACACATGTCCATCGTGACTTCGGGAAAAGAATGGTGACTGGGGATCTTGGTGGGATGCCCATTTCACAGAGATGGTGAGCAACATAATCACTCAAGGCGGATAGTTGAGCATAGGTAAAATCTCCATCCCACGCGGAAACAGCGAGGGCATCTGGCTGTTTTTGCACCACCTCAGTGATCAAGTCATGAACGCAGCCCATGATAGACCCTGGGACAACAGTATTACTAGCCCATATGTCATCAAGTTCTTGCGACGAAGTTGATACAGCAACTGGTGCATCCGGCGTTGGTAACTGAGTACCATGGTTCGTCTTTGTCGCAATCATTCTAATATTTTAGGAAGATGATTCCAATTGTAGGGGAAGGTTATCATCAGCTCTTAATGTGAATTCTCACAACCTTGGTATCTCGGTATCAGCGATGGAGCATTGAACGGGCCAGGAATCCACTCCACTTTGTGGATCTCCATTTGACTGTGCGCACCCGGCAATGCATGCACATGCAAGATCGGGTTAGAGTCATGCAGTAAGAAACGACTAGGTACACCGCTGTTATGTTATGTGTTGCTGACCTGTCATTGATCAGAATGGTCCTGACACCTGGAGGGCCCGCTTCAGTGCAGATGCACCACTGTGACCCACGAACTGGACAACACAAGATATGATCACCATTACTTCCACGTTTTTTCAGTCAATCTGCAATCCGATATTGATAAGGCATTTCCTACAACATAGGTGGCTAGCATCTACTACAAGAAGCCTAGCCATTGGTTCGAGTATTTACACATTGGGCAACTTCCACCACATTCCTTACTATATCTCTATCAGTCATGCTCGGGCAACTTGACTTTTCGAGATTTCACCGTGGAAGCATCGAGGAGCGAGATCAATTCTGTCGTGAGTTGATCTCCCAGTTGAGCAAGTCGGGCTGGGTACGGCTAGTCAATCATGGTGTCCCTTCAGATAGCATTGACCGGGCATTTGAAATGGTGCGAACATTCTCTCAACATCTGTCCGAAGCTCCTCACACTCATCGTCTCCCCAGAGTCACAAATTCTTCGATCTCCCAATGGAGCAGAAGCTGAAGTCGCCTCACCCGCCCACGGCTCATCCCCATCGAGGCTTCAGTCCTGTTGGTCTGGAGAACATATCAACTGTGTCTAATTATCGCTCCTCAGCTACGCAGCCCCTACTCAGAGATATGAAGGTACGTACTTTTGACCAGCTCATCTTATTTAAGTTTTACATATCTAACCAATTCACTAGGAGTCTTATGACATTGGATCGGAACAAGATCCACTATACTCCAATATTTGGCCCCCGGCAGGCGTCCACGATAACTTTCAAACGACAATGAGCTCATTTTTTACTGTCTGTTACGACGCCCAATTGGTCATTCTGGACGCTATTTCGATTGGCTTGGGGTTGCCCGTGCACTCTCTACGTGAATTACATACAGCACAGACTAACGAGCTGCGGCTCACTCACTACCCAGAAGTGGATCGTGCTGATTTTGCTAATGCCACCCGCATTGCGGCGCACACGGATTTTGGCACTATTACTCTATTGTTTCAAGACAATGTTGGAGGCCTGGGTAAGCAATACCACTTTCCAAGTTCGGAAGGTGTCATCTCTCTATACTAGTATTGATCTAACGGAATCCTAGAGATGGAACAGCCCCCCTGGGAGCGGAGTATTTGTTCCGGCTGACAGTGCTGGCCCCTATGAGTGTATTGTCAATGTAGGTGATTGTCTCCAAATGTGGACAGGGTTGCATAGTGCCCGACACCGGGTGCATCTGGCAAAAAGTGAAAACGAGTGTAATATGGTCCCAGAACGCTTTTCGATTGCGTATTTCGCGAAGCCCGATCGTGCAGCGCTTCTCCATCCACTGCTGGATTCGTTAGTTGACGAAACCAAGCCAGTGCAAAAGTTCTTGACAGCCAATGAGTTCCAGCACATGCGAATTGAGAGCACGTACAACAGCACCTGATAGTTCAGCTGCCTGCGCACGTTCTCCTCGGCCTATGAAGAATACTTGGCATTCAATACATGTGGTGTTATGTAACTATCGCCTGTGTATTTGCAGTTTGATATGTTACTCCCGATCTCAACATACTCCACATAATGCAAGTGAGACCAATCTAAATCGAATGAGGCGATAGTTGTGTTGTAACAGTGTACTTTTATCACAGAGAGTGAGCTGAAGGAGCTGCCTAGATGGTTTCCTGCAGGATTCTTGGGGGCTTACCCGACGGGGCTCCGGCCCGCGCTTACTTGGCTGCTCCACCTTCCCCCTCTCTCTTTTATCTCCACTACAAACGGGGGTTAATATGCAGAGAATGCAGGGAATACGAGCAGTTGAGGGAATTCACGTTACGAGTTCGCAGAGACAAAGATTGGAGACCTATTTCTAACCCTAATCTAGGTTTCAGCCAGACCTACTTCATCAATATCCACCCGAAAGATCACAGCAGTTGATCCTTGGTTCCACTCATCTACGACATGGCCTGGCTAGCAATTTACTCCAGGATTCTACTATTTTGCTTGGCTGGGGCCATTTGCTCTAGTGCGACGAGTCTACTTCCATCCACTGTCGGGATTTCCAGGGCCGAACCTGGTTGCTGCTTCTAGCTTCCAGCTTTATTACATCGTGTGGACTGGGCGGGAAAAGACCTGGTACCAAGGTTCACAGTGAGAATATGGTCTGTTGTACCGTCACGTCTGATCTCCCTTTCTATGGTCTAACCTATAAACAGGTCGGGTCGTTCGCTGCGGTCCCAACCACCTGACATTCAATGATCTGGATCTGATCCCCGTAGTTTATCCAAGACAGACTACCCCCAAGACTTCACCTGTCCCGGTGCAGCCACCAACAAGGCCAACTATCTTGAGTATGCTGCGACTAAACGGCAGTTTAGCAGGCAGCGGGTCACAAATTACATGTTGATCCTCGGAGCCGGTAACTGATTGGAATAGCTTTTGGTATCGCGGGTGCAGTTGTATAAAGTTCTAGTAGATGAAACTCTTATTAAGTGTGGTTCCATTCTCAACATGAGGCCCACACTAGCCTCTCAGTAGATTGGGGTACTTGGGTTAAGTAAATGTCCGAATACGCTCTAAAAATGCCTCAACGGAAGTATTTAAATGAATGAAAAGGATCAGAACTGTTTGACCGTTGGAATGAGGACCAATCATCTTGGATTTGACAAAACACGTCTAGATCCTCTCAGCATTTAGTTGCATGCACATTCCCTGCTAGTTAACTATAACCCTTCACGTCTGGGCATGTAGACCTTGTGTTCGAGCCATAATTTAGCCAGCCCCAAAGATGTATGATGCCCTTGATAAACGTGGGTAGTTCTAGATCTTAACGCGGGATGATCTCTCAATGCATATCCTCCTGTACGTCTATCACCATAGAGTCCCTAGGTGAGAATATCCTACATCCTCATTAATCACATCATCGGCATTAATTGCCTGAGAGCTATCGGCGGTAGTCCATGTATAAACTACACTAGACACGACTAGGCACCGGTTCCTTGTAATTGATAGGAAGAAAACACTGCCCCAAAAGTTACCCAAGGTGGTCTTTCGTTTACATACTCCGTACAGCAGAGAACCTTTTTTCTCGTACATACCTTTCACCTATTTTGCATATTTCGTAGCTCATTTGAACCGGTCTGTGTTTCTGTCTGGGCCTCGTCATGCAGCTCCAACTTCCGTATCGTGATTTGTACTCGAGACCATCTATACGGGTTGCCCTATGTCAGGATCCTCCAGAGCACCCAGATGTCCATTCATTTGAATGCCCTTGTTATCCAGACTGTTCAATATGCGGTCCTGGTAATCCTGCAGTGACTAGGCCCGAGAATATTAAGAACGTCCCTCCCGTTCGCACGAGCTACCGATAGGAAGAAAGCTCAGATCCTCCCTTGGATAAAAATACTAAAGTATGCATTATCGGGGCCGGGGTTGCTGGTCTATATCTCGCGCTGATTTTGCAAAATTTGGAGATCCCAAACCTTTCCTGGGATATCCTTGAGGCCAATCGGGATCGCATTGGTGGCCGCATTTATACCCATCGCTTCTCTGAGGCGCACAACGACTACTATGACGTGGGCGCAATGCGCTTTCCGGATATTCCTGTTATGTCTCGAGTCTTCGATCTTTTTCGCCGAATGCAAGTACCATTGAAGGAATTTGAGATGCGAGAGAGAAACACGAACACGGGGGGGCAGTAATATCTCCAAGACCAAAGATAGCTCATCAGCCAATCTTGTCAGTCAATGCTTCGGCCCTTATAAAAAGGTCATGCAAAAGGACTTTGTGCAGGGCTTCCAACTCCTTATGCAAGCCGATGCAATGAGCACCCGCGAATACCTTCGAGGCAGCCACAAGTCAGACTTCATGACAATCCAGTCTGCCGAGAGCGATACAACCGGCACAGGCACGTTTGATCAAGCCTTTTCAGAAAGCGTCATGGACTCTTTCGACCTTGATCAATCCATGACAGGGTCCGAGGACAGTGGGGCAGTGAAATGGTATTCTGTGGATGGCGGCTCTTCCGTGGTGATCGAGCGAATGTGCCATCAAATAAACAAAAGCAGCACAATCGAGCTCGGGAAACAAGTTCGCCGAATTGCCATCAATCGTAGCGCCAATCTGTCCGTGTCATGTGCGGGCGAGAAAGATGATCGCGATGGGTACGCGGCGGTGTTCAGCACTACACCATTGGCATGTCTGCAGCGCATCGACACTAGCTCACTCCATCTTGATCCTATTCAAGAGGAAGCAATCCGGTGTTTACGGTATGAAGACTCTACCAAGGTAGGTATCAAGTTTGCGTATCCATGGTGGATCGTAGACTGCGGGATTCGAGGGGGTGGTAGTGTCTCGTCGACCCTGCCGTCACGGACCTGCGTCTACCCGTCGAATATCGCCGAAGAGAACTGGGACCAATCAGCCGTGTTGTTGGCCTCGTACACCTGGGGCCAAGACGCCACTCGCATGGGGGCTCTAATCGGTTCGTCTTCCGCCAGCTCGGATAGGGGTGAGGATGAAGTGGATGACCTGCTGGATCTTGTCCTCCGCGACCTCGCTAGGCAACATCAGCAGCATGGAATCACGTACGAGAAGCTGCAAAGTCTGTACAGGGATCATCATGCCTTCTGCTGGGGTAATTCCCGATTTTCGTCAGGGGCCTTTGCGCTTTTTGGCCCGGGACAATTCACCAATCTCTACCCTTCTTTGTCTCTCCCAGCTGCCGATGGCAAGTTCCATATTGTAGGGGAGGCCTCCAGTGTCCATCATGGGTGGGTGGTCGGCTCGTTGAACAGTGCATATGCGGCGGTCTATCGATTCTTGCTTCGATATGGACAACAACGGGCCATCCAGAAGCTGGAGAAGAACTGGGGAACAGTGCATGAGTTGGATCTTGCAGGTGTTGCTCGTCTTGGTACACCTAATTGATGCGGATTAAACTCCCCTGTCAACTCGGATGAACGACACTACAGTGACTCCGCAAAAGTGTTAACACCCAACACCCCTAAGATGGTGTGAGGTGACCATAGGTTGTGGCCGGTGGTTTAGCCGGACGCTTTTCAGTAAGGGTTGATTTCATTGGATCATCATCTTGCTGTAGGAGCGGGTGTCTGCAGTAGCTGTCATCGGGCGACAATATAACAGCGCTGCGGACGCTAGACCATGATTCCCCCTTCCCCACGTTCTCTTTCCACTTCTGATAGTACTGCAAGACCACCCGACCTCTATATCTTCAATCTAAATTTGAATTTGTCCTCCGCCACAATTATTTCCCTCTGGCTCTCTAGCTCAGCAACGTCCCATCCCGAGACTAGAAAGCGGCCCGATAGCCACGCACGCTTTGTCTTTGTAAGCCATACACAGAACCCACCAGGCAAACTGATGTCGTCGAGCAAAACTTTTTGGAGAGGTGAAATAATTAGATCATAGGCACAAAAGTAGGTCATCTCGAAACTTACCATCATCCCACGGTACAGTCTCGTCATTTGTCTTGATAGCTCCCGGGTGAACAGCAATGCAAACCACATCTGATTTGAATTCTGCATCAACATACTCAGCTAGGCGGTTCAATGCAAGTTTGCTCATATTATAAGACGGTGAACCCAAGGTCGAATAGGGATAGTTTGCCGCTAATGAAGACAATATAATCATTGTTTGAGGCCCATTGGTAGATTGTTGAATTAGAGGAAGGAACTTTTTGATAGCGGAATAGGTACCATGGTAATTAGTAGCCCAAGCTTTCATTCTCTCTTCCTCGAGTTCATCACAAATTCCGGAGGGGGAGATGGGATTCCCGTCCGTATCCTTTTCGTATCGTAGTGGTTCGCATTGGTTGAAGACAGCAACATCTAGTCGACCAAATGACGATCTGCAGCGAGAGGCCAATCGAATCACATCTTCCTCTTTAGACACATCACAAGCTTCATATTCCACTCGGCAACTTGGATTGATGGCTTTGACCTGTTCTGCAACGCTCTTCGCGCTCGCTTCAGAGCGTGAACTCAGTAAAATCCCAGATGCTCCAGCCTGTGCATAAGAGAGCGCAATTGAAACCCCAATTCCTCTTTGGCCTGTCCCTGTGATAGCCACGACAAAAGGCATCGGCAGCTTCACATTTACTGGATCAAGTTGACCACCCTTTGCAGAACGAAAGTACCGCTTTGTGACGTATGCAGCTGATCCCAGAATTTCATCGCGAAAAAGGGGCGGGAGATCAGAAACATTGATCCATTCTGCCCTTCGGAGGTCCATTTTAAACTGATAAAAGGCAAATCAAGTTTGAGAAAGATAGCTCTAGCTCTGGGTGTGCTCCAAGATTGAAATGTGTGAATTCAGTACAAGATTCAGTATAGTGAATTTCTGGGTCTTTGTCGTGTCTTATGTACTTTACGAAGATGTGAGTTCTGGTCTTTGTTGTTCTGATGACGACGTACTTGTCGGGTATACCTACATAGGTAGTTATGCAACTACAAAACAGTCCACCTTCTACCTAGTAGGCACATGTACATATTGTAGAGGGGAAGCCTGTCCTCGCATGTACGATTACGTACGTGTATGGCGTCATGTTCCGTCCCGTATGAAGATGCCCTTGTTCCCTAAAAGTAATGGTTAACTATTTATAGTCTAAGACGCCTCTCTCAACGGACCTCTAGTTACAAGTGATTCCCTTGCCCTTCCATAGCGTATTGTGAGTGTTGGTGTTGTTGGTACTGCATCGAACTGCGTATTCTGACTACACTGCCTTGAGCGTTCCCCCTCCTCAATATGAATGTAGGTGTGAAATACTGCAGATAAACCCCTCTTCACAAATGGGTCCGAGCGCGATGCCACCTATAGCTCCGTATGGGAGGTGTGACTTGAAATGGCAAACCTACCTTAAGAAGTACGTCTGTATATAGTCATAAAGTTGTAATCACTTCAACGTTGTAGCTTCCACTGAAGTGCACCTTGGATATCTATAAATGGGCAAGTTGTAGTGGAATGACACTAAAATTCCAGGTGATCTGTTCGTCCGTACCTCATGCAGATATGTGATTCAGGCCGGGTTGGTAATAGCCGTGCCAAGTCCCCTGGTGTTGGTGTGTCCCACTATGTTGTAGTTACCAGATTCTCATAGGATGCAAGATCTGTAAATTATGTATCTTTTGTATGACTTACCTATACAAAAGGTACTTAGGTATAACATACATTTTTCTCGACCCTCAAACCAGTTAGGGAAGATATAAGAACATTCATATAGTATAAAGGAAGTCTGTATTATTTAACCAAACTTTGGTAAGGAATATTAAGTATACTAAAATAAAGAAAGTACCTATGTTGTAGAAATTGCTGGGACTGATTCGCCAAATGCGCACTTGTACTTCTGGGTTGGGTGTCCAAGGAAGACGAGTTGCCAGACTATGTATCCACAAGTCTACTTCAGTTTGCCTTGTTTGCAGCGAAATTTCTGGGAGGAGGGATATTTATAGAACAGATTGAATACGATGTCTATTGCGAGATAGCGCTTCCTAGTAGTCATTAGCCGAAGCCAAAATGGTTTCAGACCCTCAGTTTCTATCCGCCGATCGGTGTCCTTGCTTCTTATTCTGAGAGCGGATACTTCTGTATCTCATATCTCGACTTCAAATATGACCGCAATGCCAACCCCACTACCCACGACAATAGCTATGAGCGGCTGTAAGCCGATATATTTTGCGGCACTGAAAGGAACCATCCGTAGATCATCACTCGTTGATTGAATCATCGGAGTGAAATACCATGTCGAGGTGACCCCAAGCCATAGCATAACCCATACCATCCCAGCAGCACGCTTCAAAAGCGGCACAATGTCTGAAGGTTGTTGTGCCTCCTCTTGCCTGCTGTCAGGTGTTTGCCCCCGTTTCCAAATACTTTGCACTCCATCCTCGATCATTATTCCCAAGACAAATGCTAAATAAAACGGCATCGAGCCGGACCTTTCCATCGGAATGCCCTGCAGTATGTCGACGAGGACATGAAATACCGCGGAGATGAGAAAGACAATAAAAAGATTGGTGTATCGTTCGAGTATTGAAGATCTGGCAAGATTCAAAACATCTCGTGCAATAAAGTTGCTGATAGAAGTAAAGGGCTGGCGCATGAATTGATGCCAGAATTTCCTTCAAAATGCGTCAACATAATTATATACCTTGGTAAACAAATATGGCCTACCCCCAAAAGTTGCGTAATGTAAATGCGTCTGCCAAACTCCCGAAAGCTGGTGGCCAGTCTGCAGGAGAATCTAGCCCGATCCCGACGAAGAATATTGACAGTACTCGATACGCAAGATCGCCAATTAGACGGTTTACTACAACCCAAATAGACAGATACGTGGCTATTCGCTCTGCCCAATGTCCTAAAGGCACAATCCATTCGACTTGCAACTTTGTGGGCTCATGCAGGCCACGTTCCTTAGCCTGCTGAAGCGAGACCGTTTGCACGATATCCAGCACCAAGTACTGCCATGCGACGATTGCTAACTGTCGTAGCAAAAATCGACCCCGTGTTGGGACCTGCATACCCCGCCACAGGTAATACTTTGGATGAGAAGGCACATTTTTCACCTGCCTTTGTGTATTGACAGCGCGGGTTTGAGCAAGCAAGCGAAATGCTGCGATCAACCTAGATCCGAAGTTTTGAACGCTCTTTATACTCCGCTCTGAGTTGGCCAGAGGATTGAGCAACAATAGATTCGTTGCCTGCAAAGTCGCAATGACAAGTTGTGATATGGCCTGGCACCATGCGGGACTGCCAGACGAGCCAGAGCGACGGATGAACCTGCTCGCGATCCATATCATCCCTGGAATGCACAGGTAGCGCAGGGGAGAGCTTTTCCGTGTGGTGATGATGAGAGCGGCAGGGACCACATTCTGGACCAGGTAGAAGCAGAAGAATTCTAATATATTTGCACCTGTCGAGTGATACAACCCATACATCACCGCGGCTAGTGTGATAGGTGAGAGTCAACGAGGTCTAGATTTACGCTCATCACATTTTGAGTCTACCCGGACCCACACCCAACATGATGTCAATTTATTGGCCAGTTTGTTGGATCCGAATGGGTTCCTCTAATGTTCCAATGTTTGGAATCGTAATTTCCCAATATTTGAATAAGCTCAGCTCAACCTTGGAACTGGAGTCCAAGACCATAGACCACTAGTGATTAAAACCATGGGAAAAAAAAAGGTTGCACAAGCGGCTTAAAATTACGCGCCGGGCCGTTTGCCCACATCTTTCAGTTGTCCAAGAATGTCAACGTTATGTAAATTTACTTCTCCTTGGATTTCCTTATGAAAATTCATTCCCTAATTGTGAACTAGTCTTGAACTGACATTGAGTGTAGGTAACTTCGTGTCCTAGCCTTGATCGACTCCGTAGTGAGAAACGGTGGAATTGGGGAGATACACTGCTGGTAATATGCAGCGGGGAAGCAATGGACACGTACATGCGGGGACTATCGTAAACTGAAAACCAATTGGAGAAGGTTAGAAATTCAGCACGGTCATATTCATACAACCTTGAGTTTATTTCACCCAACTCGGGGTGGGATCTACAGGTTACCGAGTTGGGCTGGCAGATGCCATATTGTTTGTGTTATAACCTTCTTTATCTCCTTCGCCATTCTCGTTTCTTAGTACTCACCCACCTTGATGTTATTCACCTTTATCTCCAGTCTTTTGCTGGGAGCCCTCGTCCTCTATGTCGCCAAAGTCCTGTTGAGCCGCCAGAGGCTTGCTGGCCCTCTGCCACCAGGCCCAAGGCCGACGCCAGTGCTTGGCAACGTATCTGATCTACCGCCGCCGGGGACACAAGATTGGATACATTGGCTTCAATACAAAGATTCTTACGGTATGCTTTTACAGCGATTATTATTTTCCACAACACACACTGACGCAAGGGATTCCCAGGGCCGGTCAGCTCTATCACGGTGCTGGGACAAACAATTGTAATATTGAATGACGCAAAACCGGCTATGGAACTTCTAGCAAAGCGCTCTTCAAAATACTCCTCAAGGCCAAATCTAGTCTTGGCGTCCGAAATGTAAGAACAGGTGACCTGGTTGTTCAAATCTGGACATAGAGCTGACGCATTTATGAAGAACAAAAGCACTTGGAGGCTTTGAGCAACACCATCAAAAGAAATGGGCAGTTCTCATCGGAGAAAGAAAGCTGAGAGGTCATGTTTCGAGAAGGGGATAGGCTATCAACCGAGCAGCGTGGCAACGTCTATCGATTTTAACAATGGCGCAAACCGGTCGATTGCATCATTTCCAGTTGCACTTGGCCCAAGAACCCATTCTGTACTTGCGTACAAATCGGTTTGAACGGTGTCCGAAACCGTAGCTTGAGGGTCCTGAGAATTGACAACGTCCTGGACGGTTCTGTTGTTGTCTGCATATGTGGCGAGCTTGGGCCTTTTCTCGTCATGATGGTCAGTCTCATTGTCGGTATCTTCGTCAGTCCTCTTTCTCTTGTCACCTGCTGGAGGAATGTGGTAGAGTTGAACGAGGTGTGGATGGATGAGGTTTTTATCGTCGAAATACAAATCACGTAGCATGGTCAATTCGTCGATAGTGGCTTGGTCAAGTGCATGACAGCGGGCACTTCCTAATATAGCGATCCCTCGTCGAATTGCAGCTAATGGGTGTCCGTGCCATGGCTTGGGGGCAGTAAGAACCCTAAGAAAATCGATGGGTAAACGGCCGTCACAGAGAAAATTTTTGAGGTAGTAGCCACGGTACAGTCCACCGATTGCGTCGTCTGGCACTAGTCCTTTTGAAGTATGATGGTCACGGTAGTCCTTTGCTGTTGGCACGATTCGGGTTGACGGTGGATCAGCTTGGGCACGGCGACGCTGATCTTCAAGTTCATATCGTATGAAAAAGTTCAAATCCGTTGGAAGGAACACCCAGCGGGGATCATCGGCACGGTCAAAGGCAGCGTGGCAGGTGGGACAAAGCTGAATGCAGTTGGTCACTGCCTTCAATGAGAACGGCACCAGGCCAGCTTCGATCCAACAAGAGACCTTAAGGCTGATTAGCTAATGTAGGACATGTATATGGGTATGGATAAATACTTGGCCATCTATCTGCGCAATAACATAGGCGAATTCAGTTTCGGTAGTCGAACAACTCCAACACTGAGCGCCAGACAAGCGGGAAACCTCAAGCTTGACAGTATCACTGAACGCGTTCGAAATGTCCGTTCGAGGTTGTAAATTTTGAGTGCTACAATAGAAGCGAGAAACGGAAGAAGTACTGGAAAGTGAAGCAGACGCAGGCATTGAGGCTTTGTTCGATTTACCTGCCATCATTAGCTGGCGCTGGATGGGTTTTGGGCCAAGTCATCTCACCTCTGTAATAGGTGGCTTCGAACTCATATAGGGAAGCTATCGAGCTCGAATGCGACTACCTCGTAATCATAGTCGGAAAGAGGAAGGAGTATTATGGCAAGTGTCGATCGTGTCAGACTGCCTAGATGGGACACGGCCCCTAAACAGGAACCTTGGCTTTTGTATGGTTGGGTGGTAAGAGTAAGATTGACGTATCTCAAAGTAAAGTGAAAAAATTTGCACCGCGATCAACATTGTCCTATCGCTTTATCTTCGCTCTCATACTGAATCAACAAGCTCGCCGCTGGGGTCAAGATCCTCATGTTAGGAACTGAGATGCTGATCCTCCTCGGCGCCGTGACCTCATAGAAGTGCATATAGAACAATGGGAATCTGATGACATGAATGTCGTGCCTTGGAATCATTCCAGATTCGAAATTGGACTTTTTCTGAATCTATCGTGTTATCGTAGTGTCACCGGATGAATAACGTGGGGAAACGCCACTGGGGGAAAACCCGCCTCGTCTCAAGGGCGCCTGAATTTTCCTGATCCGGTAATGATGTTTCACTTCGTCAATATTATCCACTGCACAAACATTGACTGCTATCATCAGTTTACCCAAGATGGTAGCTTCTCGAAAGATGTGCTTGAAATTAGATACTGTTAGAACCACCTGTATGAATGCTTGCAAATTGCTTGAAACCCCACTATTTATTTCCCACTTCAAAGAGTGTAAATGGACCTTTCCAAAAAAAAAAGGCACCTTGATAGTGACTACTTCTCGACTTATATCCTCGGCACAACTTGAAACCCTGACCTTGAGGTTCTCGACATACCCCACATCAGAATGGTTGCACGGCATTTACTTTCGGTGCAAGAGATGATCAAACATAGCGGAGCAGATAATTGCTGGATAATAGGATCATGTCCATCGTCACTAGTAGACTCATATATAGTAGATTTAAGGGACACTAAACCATTCTAGTTCCAAAAGTTCCATGACATTCTAATTCTTCAATAGATACATAACCAATTTCTCTAGTCCATCAGAATTTGATCTATATCCTACGGTGCGACCTCGGGGAGTATATAGATCAAGACATCCCACTATTAAAGTCTTGGAAGGTGAAAAATACCGTAAAACAAAGAAAAATTACCTGTGACAAGTGTAAACAAAACTGGCCAATGGGATGAAAGCCCAGTAAGGGACAACCTTGAATAGTGGACATGTGATCACTAGCTGTTCAAATATACAATACGTCTCTTCGGGTTTATTTCCTTTTTGTTCTTTTTCCTTTTCTTTTTCGAGTTTGAAACTATTTTGTTTCTGCCAGGCGTCTCAACATCAATTTAATGATGCAAAAAGGTAGACCTACTCTCGTGTCGGAATATCAATGTTTAGATGATCTCCAGATCCCTGAGGATCAGCCGCTTCTCGGCTCCCCCTTCACCCGCTCGGACACCCACTCTCGTGGACTTGCCATCATAGTTTGCACGGCCGCGGTATTGTTTATTCCCAGTGCAGTCAACGGCCTAGTCACCCTCAATATCACACAACTTTCATCCGAATTTGAATTAGAGCCTGGAGTTGAATTATGGTGAGAGACATCTGAATTGGATCTGAATTGAATCTGAATTTAATCTATAAAGTGTATAGTACACAAATAAAAGAGAAGTTAAAATTAGTAAATGCTTCAAGAAGGCAGTAATTAACTAGGCGGTGAGGTAATAACCAATGAGAGAGTTATGTGTCGGATGGCATTTTTAATCGCCCGTAGACCAGGAGCAACTAACCAGATAGGCTTCTCGTTTGACTCTTTCGTGACCCAGACGCCGTCGACTGGGCCTAGCGAAGGGTGGTATGTCCGAACCAAGTTCTCGTTCTGTGGCGTTATGGTTGGTTCTATAGTGGCACGTGCAGTAGCAACCTCTTTATTTCCCCATTCAGATGAAGTTGTTCCTAGAAAATAATTAGCAACTTCTTGCACTATAGAAAAACCGACCGAGATCATCCTCACTTGACACTGGGACCATGGACCGCAGCAATCCCACCCCTTCAGCCGGAGGTTCCTCATGAGGGTCGGTGGAGTCATCCGGAGCTGGAGGGTAGGGGAAGAGCCCTGAATCTCCAGCGTATATCCGTTGTCTCTTGGACCTTGGCGTCGCAACATGAGTGCTGGGCCTGATTACTGCTGGCATGATGAACAAAAAGTTGTTCACAGTCCAGGAAGCGTCTGAGACGAAGAACGACACTAAATGAAAGAGAGGTTAGAATGGGAATATTCAGCGTGTCCGGCCACTTGAATTTGATGACGGGGCCGGTTGGTACCAAGTACATGAAGGTAGGGAGAGTTGTTGGTCGGAATAAGGGCTGACGTCTGCTAGTCTGATAGATCGGTCCTCACAACCTTGAAATCTCCTGGGGATATATAAAGACCAACCTTGGAAGCCTGTGGGACTGACGTAAGATTTATGAGGAATCTCGATGAGCTGAAAAAGTGATGAGATCTGATGGACAAGGTGATAAACGCGATGAATCAGGAGAGGTCTGAATTTCTTAAAGAACTAGAAGGTGCCAATACACAAGTATTTTGGAAGGCGGGATTGTCCCTCTCCTTCCGGCGGACCATTTCTGCCGGCATCCCCCATCGAGTGGCAGGCCGTCCCCCCGACCTATCAGGACATCCCCGTGACGCATTAGAAACTCTTGTATAGCGTCTCACCATCATTCCCTATCATCCTCCTTAGCGCGACGTGTAACTTCCTCTCGAATCGCTTGGGGGTTGTATACCTCGGATTCACCCTGAACGTACTCGAGATAACGAAACAGATATCTTTCTATTATATTCCGAGCCATAACGGTGGCCTCCACTTTCTTAGTTATGTTAGGGATGCGTTCGGTTCGTGTATATCCGTAGGCTTCTCTAGTTTCTTCTCTATAGAGGAACTCTTCACGTAAGGCTTATCTTTCCTAGGGAGTATACCATGAGGCCCTGCTTCCCTAAGACAGATTTCTTGCAGATATTGACGAACATACCCCAAGAATCATCAATATATATCTGCGAGGACCGGTGCCTAACTAGCATCAGAGCTAGGGTTATAGTTAAAGAAATTGTCATATACAAATGGTTTGGGTATTTGGGCTTGAACTACTTTTACCTTTTGCCATTACTATTGTATACCAGGTGTTCCTTCGGCTGCCCTGCACAATCGACCAATTATTATTTCCCGTTTCTCGAAGTTCGAGCCTCTTGGGGGTGTGTCTGTAGTATGCTTTTTTTTATCAGGAAAATACCTATTATGCCAAGCATTAAAAGCCAGTGATTGTTCCGGGGTTGATGTGATGGGGAAGGGCTAACCGCATCAAGTAAAGGAATCCTCCCCACTCAGCATCATCTGCATATTCATATACCTATTACTCAACTACGCGATCTTATCACGCGAAGTAGGCCCATAGTCTATGAGATCAGAGCAATACTATCAAGACTTATCGGTAGCTTTCTCCCCATTGATAACAGTCTCCCCCGCTATCATTTCGGGTCTTATCTCAAGATTCAAGCTTCCCCTCATCACCCGTAAGCCCCCACCTGACAGAGGAAATACCCTACGTAGAAGAACCTACCTAGGTAGGTAAGTTCCATTGGACATAGTGGACGGTGAGGTAAGGAGTTCCTTTGAACAATTCTAACGAGATAAAAGGGAAAATTGCTTCTTCAAACTACAGCCGAGCGAGAAATTTTGTACAAAATTTCGGAAAGCTCTAGGCAGAAACCAATACCGGAAACACAATACTCTTCCATTCGGTCACCTTAATGATATTCTTCTGGGTATATCATTACCGCATAGGAAAAATCTAATTTTATTCTATCACGTCTCTTTCGAAACTCATAGCATTTTGTTGTCACCTTAAGAAGCCAAATTTCTTCCGTAGCCCTTTTATTGAAGCCTTAAGTGTACTATTTCAACCCTGAGCTATATGTTTAGTATTATTTATGGAGAGGAGTTCATTCATCATCCACTTATATCGAGGATTGCATACTTCCCCAATTCGAGCGACTTTGGCGTCGTGCTATAGAACGCGTCTCGGTAGAGGCTATTGACAATCACCGCGGGCGATTTTTTAATTGCAGTCGTAATGGTATGATTCGTGCTAAGCATATATTGATCCTTAAAGCCTATCGGCTATATCTTATTAATACGAGTTTTGTATATATCCACCGTTTACTTATAGTTCTTATATGATTGCGTATCTTGGATATAGCCATATATAAACGATACTACAGCGACCATCACCTAAAGGCGGAGATTAGAAAGACATTGAATGGCTCCACTGGTTCCATATACTGCTGGACTTTCCTAGTGTAAGGAACATATTGTTCGTGGTCTAAGATTTAGCGGTGCTGAATTGGGAGAGGTGCCTTTTCATCTTTGGGTCCCGTTTCTGCTTCGCTCGCTAGACATATGCTATGTTTAGCGGGGAGGTTGAAGGCTATTATGGCCCAGACTTATATATAGGGTTAAATATTGCATTAATTAACACACAACTTTTTGAAGTCATTTCAGTCAGTCATTTCAGGGCAAAGGCGCAAGTTTTGCCAAACGACATGTGTGAGCCTCATGTATGTTGGGTTACACAGGTACATATGTATGTCCACTGCATTGACCAAATACGCGGTGGCTTTCTATTCTGTGCCAGGAGGCTCAAGCCTTGTGTTGCATACGAAGCGGACGGTGAGGTGATGAGGAAGTCGATGAAGAAGTCGATGAGGATGGTCAAGTAGAACAATCAGCCGAGTCCCAGCCAAAAGCAGCCCGATTGGAAGAAAATGGAGCTTCAAGAAGCCAGAGGATCATGAGGCAGGGTGGATATTATCCGAAGTGTAAAACGGAAAAGTTTATTCAGAATTCCTGTCAAAAAAGTGGTCGCGAGAGTTCGAGTGCTTCTGTCAAT